GAAGGAGAAGGAGAAGGAGAAGGAGAAGGAGAAGAAGAAGAAGAAGAAGAAGAAGAAGAAGAAGAAGAAGAAGAAGAAGAAGAAGAAGAAGAAGAAGAAGAAGAAGAAGAAGAAGAAGAAGAAGAAGAAGAAGAAGAAGAAGAAGAAGAAGAAGAAGAAGAAGAAGAAGAAGAAGAAGAAGAAGAAGAAGAAGAAGAAATAATTTCTCTTCTCATCCAAGAAGCTTGGATGGTGGGGGGGGATGTATCTATCCTCTCATCCCCCCCCCACCATCACAAGTGGTGAAGCTTCTTGGATGAGAAGCAAAATGTTTCTTCTTCTTCCTCAAGGAAAAACTGTCTAGTTGCCTTTTACAAAAGCACCTTTGAGACAGGAGAAATAAAAAATCAACAACTAAGTTGTTATGTCATACATTTTAAGCAGATTCATATTTTCCCTGTTAAAGAAAAGGGAAGATTCATACCCTAGCCATCGGAATATTCTGCCCAAATCCTTAGTGAAGATGCTGCTGGACAAGCCTTGTTTCACACTATTGTTCCAACCAAAAGCTTCTTCCTCTGTCTGGAAAGCAAAATAAATTTTAAAAAAAAACTACATGAACTTAGCGCTAACTATAACCACAAAAATAGAATGATAACCAGAACTTCTAAAATGTTTAACTATGCGCAAGGCCTAGTAAAGTCACAAAAAGACTGAAGCATGCCTCAAACTATAAGGCAAGCAGAGTGTTATTATCAAATACTCACTTTTCCAGTATTCATTACACTCATCGTACTGGTCCCAGAACAGGGAGGCCTTATCATAGTACTGATCTCTCAATGTACCTTGTATAAAGTCCTTGGATAATCCCAGAGAGCTGCTACCAACAATTCCTAAGCACTTGAGATATTTACTGTATTTCCAAAGCAGGAAAAAACCTCATGTAGCTGCATTAACTGCTAACACTATTATTGTAGTCCTTTGGATTTCAAGTTGATATAACCTTGCTAGCATCTAACTAAAAAGCTGTTTTACTTACCTTAAATTTGAGCACATAGAGAATAGGAGCAAATGTCTCTGTGTGCACAATTGGAGAATTATGAGGAAGGCCAATCACAATGGTTGGTTCAACATAGTTTCCAGGACGTTCTATAACCTTGAATTTAAAAGAGAAGGGAAAAAAACCACTAGTTTCAGCCAAATCAATCTCTACACATGAAAATATCTACTGCATAAACTTCCTTCAACAGCTGTGTTCACAACATACAAACCATGCCTAAAAGCAACAATACAACTGCAATTCTGAATATTAGCTTGTCAGAAGTGTGTGTTGCCAGGAGAATATCAAGAGCGCTGATTTGCCTTTCTTTGTAAGTAGCTTCTTAAAGAGACAACTAGTATTAACCCTAATCATGCTAGATAAGGACAATATAAGACAGATTACTAGTTATCAATAGGAAACCCTGTGAAAGTTACCCAAGAAAGGTCTATCTTTTGGCCCTTCTCAACCTTCCATAATTGGGCTTCATACTGTTATAGGAAGTAACTGCTCTACTTCTAGTTTGTAGAAATCTGTATCTACAAACATAAAGTCTCCTTCAAGTCAAGTTCAACTGAAAACTTCATGGACACATCTGTTACTTTGTCTTCATTTTGTAGTGGCTAAAGGCACCCCTCCACACCATTTTAATTTGCTAATCTATCTCTAGAATTGCCAGGTGTTCACCTATTCAAGTACTAAAAAGGATGACTGTGCTCAAATTGGATAAATTCAACTAAGTGCCACCTCTTGGATGGGTAGTTTTCAAACATGATAAAGTGTACATTATTACAGGTTATGTAAACATTATACAACCAGGAAATATATTTGGTTAAACTTGGTGAAACAAAATTTGAAGGTGAAGATTATTTATCAGGTGAAGGATAAAAGCAACAAGAGTTTGATGGAGGTACGTAGTATTAGTCAGAACAACACATTCTTCGACACCATTGCTTTTAAGTTTTATATTATAGATGTAAATGAGAATAATCACCTTCCCACCATAGACAACAGAGCCACCTTGTTGTTTGGCCACTTCCACTGCATCAAGGAACATCTTAACTGCTTGCTTTGTATGAAGAGGACCGTACAGGGTGTTTGCTGCAATTTAAAAAAAAAAGGTCTAAGTGAAAGCCAAATAAAATGTATAAGAATATATTGAGAAATCCATTAGATTTATTTTAAAAGCTCATGGCTACAACTGGAACTGCTTGGAGCAACTTTGTTATATCAGTACGTGGTTATTCATGTATATCATCCATTAGTACATGGTACATGGTTATAAACAAAGGAAAAAGTTATCTGAGGTAGCCTGAACACAAGACTAAAAGCTACTGTAAAAGTAATTAGATTTTAGCCAAGTACCATCACAGTCTATTTTCAGGAATAAAACAAAGCTCTTACCATCCCATGGATCTCCAATACGGACTTGAGCATATGCCTTCATGAGTTTTTCTACCACTTGATCATGGATGCTTTCATGCAAAAACTAAGCAGAAATTCATGAATATTATTGGCAGTAACAGCACAACTTCAGCATCCTGCAGAAAACTATGGTATCTTCTGAAGATCTTTCAGAGTTTTCTAGAAACTTAACTTTTGTAAAGTTATGACAAGTAGCCTTTCTCCACTTTTATGCGCTTAAGTGTACGTAAGCATTTTATTTCTAATTTAATATTTGGCGACTCAGGATAGAATTGGAAGGACGTTTGAGAATAAGCAGTAAAAGATACATTACTCCATATACCTTTTCAAATTGGGGGTTAGATTTACGCAAACTCTGTCTTATTTTGTTCTAAACTGCACAGAAAATAGGACAGGCAGTAAAGAACAAATAGAACACAATATCTCCATGGGAAAATATTACAGTATATTTGCCAGGGCCAGAAGCAGTTGTATGCACAAATTACTATCAAGATTATGCAGAAGATATGAAGAGAATGACTAAGAAATCTATCTATATATCTATTGTCTGTCTTTCTCTACATGTATTAACTATCTGTCTGCCTATCTATCTATCAGTCCACCCATCCAGATAATAAAATATACAGAGATATTAAGAATTATTTACCAGCCTCCTAGCAGTTGTGCATCTCTGGCCTGCTGTACCCACAGCTGCAAAGAGGGCAGATGGAATGACTAGGTTGAGATCTGCATCTTCAAATACTGCAAGGAACAGAAGCAGATCATGATGGACCAATGCAAAATATAAGCAAAATAAATGTCAACTATAAGGAATTAGGCAACAACTACTGGTGAAAGACTGTCAACAATTTTTATTCTAAATATATCAGAGACATTTATAGCCAAAAACAAAACATCTGCAAAGGTCAGTGATATAGACTTTATCAAACAAACTTTGCTTTGATTCAAGGAAGTCTTCTAGATTCATACAGAGTTGGAAAGAACAACTCTTTTCCCTT